ATATATATATATCAAGTAGCATTTTTCGAACAAGAACTTCTGAGATCTACATACGTCGAGCATGCGCTCTGAATTATCAGCTATCTTTTCTTCAGTGTATGTCGATGATAAATAAACAAAACGTAGACGGTTTTATTCCAGAAATCAGGACAAAAAAAAATGGGGACTAATGAAACAACTATCAAAACAGTTCACGATCTGACCAGTTCAAAATGAAACCGGACAGTACAATCAGTACATCGGATAACAGGCGAGAACTGAAACTGAAGACTTCAGATGAATCATTTCTGTATTGTTTCCTCCATCGTTTAAATCGATGCATTTACGGTCATATAGCACACATTTTCGGCTATTTAGGTGATAATTAACTGAATGTTGGAATAATTGAGACGATCTCCACTGTAGTGAAAGCCATCGATATGATCCACAAACGCGCCAAATTTCTCCTCGTATTTCAACAACAAGGAATAGCCGCCAACGACCTCAAACCAAGAAATTTTCACAATTTTGTTCGGATTTTCCTTTTTCATGGCATTTCAGTCCATGTTAAAAAACTGCAATCGTCCTTTGATGAAGGCAAGCAATGCAATTGTCCTTCGGATCAAAATCCATTTGTCAATGATCATTCGTTTACAGTAAATTTCATTTTATCTGTATGATGTTCTTATTTCATCCACTTCAATCAGAATTGGCAAACTGTTGTAAAATCCACGATAAAAGAATAAAGGATTTAGTCTTCAAGGCCACTGGCACAATTTGTCAGCTCTGATTAATGCACTAAAATCAATCCCTGCTTTTAGCAATTCTGCAATGCATCTAGGCACTCTACCTTTTGCGTTGATTCGAAAAGTCTTTTGCGGTCCGGCTGCTTTCTTAGCGCATAGGGTCTACTGACACTGCAGGAGTAAGAATCTTTGTTTCAGTTCACTTTTACTGCAAGCACTTCTCTTTTTACTCACTCAATTTTGAAATGTTTCGGGTGGCGATCTCTGCCTTCCGTTTCGATATCTTGTGCTTCACCAATTTCCGCTCGACTTTTTCCAGCATAATCGATGCACGATCCTTACTATTTTTATTATCGCAATAAAACCAAACAGTGTCTCCAGCAATCCTGTAACGCATCTAGGCATTTTACCAGTTACATTGATCCGAAACGTCTTCCATCATCAGGCGGCTTTTTCCAGCACAACCAATGCACTAAACCTTAATGTCCAGTTGCAAGTAACTTATACTAAATTCTCTTCATGCGAAAACCACAACGAGGTCAGCCAAACGCAGCTGGCATATCTTTCCACAGGTCGCACCCTATATTGGAGACAACGTATCGCGCAGTCAGCGTAACCGGAACGCTGAAAATCCAGGCATGTCGCCATGAAATCCAGGACACAGGCATGATCAGACACAACCGACGAAATAATTTGCCAATTCTTATTAATCGCGACGAATAAAACCCGTTTTTTTGGCGAAATTGAGGCGCTTCCAGACAATTCCTGCATTATTCAGCGCAGTATGGGTCTTCTTCAGACGTCGCTGCTTCAATCCATGAGGGGTCTTTCGCTCAGCCGCATTACCAAGAACAGGAAGAAACTGTGGTCATTTCGTGGGCAACAACCCTCGTACAAGCATAAGCGATTTTCGGCTCGCTCCGTCGTGACAAGAGCACCAACCAGGACGACGATTTCCACTTCATGCTGAGAAATACGCCTGTCCAGTTTTGTTTTTTCGCATTGTCCCCAGGCATAGTATAAGCGAACAGCAACAACCGAAAGAATTTACACCAAGAGCGGCCATGCCGAGAAACCTGCCGATGACGTATTTCGCTCAATCGCCGCCGAGCCTTCCATTTCCACCAACGAAGTTTTTCCATCGCAATCCGCCTGATCAGCACAGTTGGAGCGTCAAACGTAGCAGCCAGTAAGTGAACACAACAGAGGCGAGACTGATATTTCTTCAGATTCCATTTCATTTATAGGCTACCAAATTTGCATACTCATCATGATGAACCTCATTTCGTATTTTACAATATAATTTGCATATTCGTACTCTCAGCAGTTAATTCTCAAACATTTAGCCAAATTTGCATATCCTTTGAAAGCAATTTTCGCCAATAATTATGCGTTATTGCACATTTATGCAAATGCCAAAAAAAGTATTGTCGAGAAGTCGTCGGTGTGTGTGCTTGTGCATGTGTGTTTGCGTGTGTGTGTATGCATGCGTATGTGTGTGTGTGTGCGCGCATGTGTGTTTGTGTGTGTGTGTGTGTGTGTGGTATGTTCGATTTTTGTCACATACATTTCATTCAGCAACCGCACAAGCTAGGAAGCTGGAATATCATAAGGATATTCCTGGTTAAGCAATCTTCCAAAGAGGGAACTATCGACAGCCTTGCGGAAAGATTTTTAGGATGATGACATTCGCTATCACTTGGGCTACTCCCAGATTGCTTCTGCCTCTTCTCCAGAGCGAATAAGACGGAATTTTGGCTTTGACAACATCGTCCTCACGTGTGACGACAAATAACGGGCCGCAGGTCACATCACTTTCCCTATACGCAGGTTACATGTTACACGTATTTTCTAAAATTAAGTTTTAGAAAATACGTGTAACATGTAACCTGCGTATAGGGAAAGTGATGTGACCTGAAAAAAA